ATACGCGCGTGCGCGGAAACTCACTTCCGCGCACACTCATCTCCCACACACACACACACATATATATATATATATATATATATATATATATATATATATATATATTATTATTATTATTATTTTAAAATATTTTTTCATCGGGAAACAGAAATTTCAGTGTTTCGGAACTAAAATTATTGTTCCATTTTCAAGCTATATTCAATAAGTTAGAAAAAAAAATGATTTACTTTTGAAAGCGAAGTAGTGTTATATTGAAGAGTTTAAGGAGGAGAGGGAATAAGTTTTCAAAATCTTTTGTGGCTGTTGTCTTATTTGACGAATCCAAAGACAGATCTAAGTTAAGGTAGAAAAGTGAAAATATGTAGGTTAGAGGCTAGATGCGGTTATGTAATTCATGCTTGTCTAGATAAGCCGTCTTTTATCAGACATGTCACCTTTTCTTCCCGTTAAGAAAATAAACATAAGATACATTGAAATAATACAAAGATGTAAACAACAGGTTAATTTGTGCATTTTATTATTTAAATATTTTTTTTTATTTTTATATACTTTAGAACTGTCTTAAAGAACTGTGGATTATTAATCATACTATTCTTTACATTATTTACATTATTCGAACTATTGTCCTCATCGTTGTCGCCATATTTATTACAACGTTTCGGCCGTTGTACGCTCCGGCCTTCCTCAGGTGGTTGGAATGTCGAATTGAACCCTTTATTTCGCTCACTGGGGTAGACTGTTCTAGTTCCACGTGCCATGTTTAATGGATGTCAGTTATCTCCTGTTAATTTCCCTCTGAAAGTTCTCCACTGACTTAACTAGGTATTGAACTTACACTCTAACCAACGTTTTTATCCACTGTGCCATGTGTCCTTGAGAACACATGGCACAGTGGCATATATATATATATATATATATATATATATATATATATATGTGTGTGTGTGTGTGTGTGTGTTTACATGTGTTTGCGTATATATATATATATATCAGGGTGTATGAAAAATATTTTTACAAACTTTGGAGGCGATAAAATTCCATATAAAACTATGCCTGCAAATCCTTTGTTTTCTAGTTATTAAGTTTAAAGTTTACGGTAGACGCTGTGAAATGTACAATCGCAAATGCAATCTGATATCGGCGTGTAGCTTCGCGTCCATTACCATTCACTCGGCCGTATGTAAAACTCATATCTGCCTGCTCATGATATGAATATTAAACGGAACACTTCTCAGTTAACTCACTACTACAAAACGTTAAACATTGAAGATAGACTAGCCACAACAGATGTACACGAGAAACAAATGTAACCTAGCCTACATGACAACACAACGCCATCTACCGTAGGCTTTCTTTAAAATTAATAAGTCAAAAACAAAGGATTGATGAACTTTTGTCCGTATTTTGATGTGAGGAGTCCTCCCCAAAGTTTGTAAAAGTACTTTTGATACACCCTATATATATATATATATATATATATATATATATATAGATAGATAGATAGATAGATAGATAGTGGGCTACAAAAGTAGGTATACAATAAGTATTATATCAATATTGCCAGTATTATAATAGTGGTTCTAAGAATAATTTAACACTAGAATTAATTTAATTCATTAAAATTATTTTTAATACTTTTATTTTCACAATTTTTATGATAATTATATTTATTCAGTTGAGTTACCTCCAGCATATCGCGCCAACCGTCACGGTCATGTATCAAGATCGGAAGGTCATTAGGGAAACATTCTGTGTCATATCATAGCTGGTCAAGATCAGTGGTTGCTGAGCGTCCAATCCTTTTTGTTCCATGGCTAGGTGTCTCGGACAGTTGATCACACGCGCGTTCTTGTTTTCCTTGACAGCAGTGTCCGCCAACATCCATTCTGTATTTTCATATATTCTTAGATATTCTTCAAATTATTCTTAGAATCACTATTATAATACTGGTAATAGTGGTGCAATAGTTACTCTATACCTACTTTTTTGTAGCCAACTATATATATATATATATATATATATATATATATATATATATATATATATATATATATATATATATATATATATATATATATATATATATATATATATATATATATATATATATATATATATATATATATATATATATATATATATATATATATATATAGGTAACTATATTCGTTTGGAAAACCTTCGAATTTTTGATTTGCCATTAATCAAATCAATCTCGAAGGAAAAAGGTTTTAAAAAAGAAAAGAGCTAGAAATATGAAAGTCTGTCGAAAGAAATCGCACAGATACAGGTTTGAAGCCCAAAGAAAAAACCCCGACACGAGTAAACAACTAACTAAAAGAGCTCAATACAACCGTAGAGCAGACCTAGATAAACCTAGTGAGCCAGATAAACCTACCCAGGTTTCACCTAAGCGGATCGTTACATATATAAATATATATATATATATATATATATATATATATATATATATATATTATTAAACTACTAGTAATACTCGGTTGGAAAAAACCTTGATAGCACAATTTGTGAGTCTATCAAAATAAATTGGTACCGAGCAAAAAAATTAGGAAAAAAAGGGAGCCCTGGCGATTCGTTTAGGTGAAACCTAGGTAGGTTGTTCCTGGCTCTTTGGAATTTATTCCATTATATATATATGGTGGATCAAAAATACTATTACAAACTTTTGGGCGAGTTCCTCGCATAAAAACAAGGAAAACGTTCATAAATCCTTCGTTTTTGAGTTATTAATTTTAAGGAAAGTGTACAGTAGATGGCGTTGTGTTACCATGTAGGCTAGGTTACATTTGTCATTCGTGTACATTTGTGGCTAGTCTGTCCTCAAATCTGTATCGGAATAAAGTACCATCTTTATACAATTTATAGGCATTAGAAGACGGTGGCCGAGGTTCAATCGATTCGAAGACATCTAGACTTAGTCATGGCTGTGAACATGCCAGTTTGTACACTTTTGATTTCGGACGTGCAAGAAATGGTTTAACGAATGCTTAGAGTCTCTCTCTCGAATAAGAGTATTCTAGTTTGTGTAGCCCTGATGGTACTTGGTACCTGACTATAAAAAATAATGATTTATCACTATATATTCAAGTTAAGATTTATTTTTTCCTCAGTTATTTATCATTTATTCTGATTGATTTGATTGTTTTTTTAATGGGGTTTCTTTTCGGGTTTTCTCTCTCTTCTTTTTTCTTAACATAGTCTCTCTTCATTTCTCCTCTCATTTTCACACTCTTCTTTCCTCTTTTCATTATCACTCTCTCACTCTTTCTCTTTCTTTCTTTCTCTCTCTCTCTCTCTCTCTCTCTCTCTCTCTCTCTCGCCTCTTTGTTTTTTTAATTCTCTCTCTACAGACAGTTTTGAAACGGATTTAATTCACTTCCAGCGATTTATTAGTTTCGTACAGCTTGAGATCAAATACGAATTATGAGAGAAATGAGTGTGTAGCGCCAACTTTCCAAATAAAAGAGCTTTTTAAGAGATTTAAAAAATTCTCGCCCTTAACGGGTTTCGAACCTCCGCCTCAATTGTCTCAATAATGAAGTTTCTTAGACTGTCACTAGACAACTGTTGGGGCACGAGGTGAGGATCGAACTTAGTGTAGTAGCGAATTTGTTTGCGAGACTCGCTTGATAAACCCCAGGCTACATGAAGGGATTCCTTCCGCTTTTCTTTTCTTTTTTTTTTTTTTTTTTTTTTTTTGCTTATACTTTTGTCGTTTAACCTTTTCTCTTTCCAATGACTGACTCACCTTACCCGAATATCTCTTTCTTTTTTCTATTTTGCTACATTTCTTTACTGCTTTCTTTCTTTCGTTACAGTTTTTTCTTTCTTTACTGCTTTCTTTCTTTTTTTACTGTTTTTCTTTCTCCCTTTCTCCCTTTAATGCTTTTTTCTTGCTTGCATTATTTTCCTACTGCTTTATTTCTTTCTTTCTTCAGAGCGTCTTTTCTTTCATTAATGCTATCTTTCTTTCTTTATCGCTTTCTTCCTTTCTTTACAGCTTTCTTTCTTCCTTTCTCTCTTTAAATACCTTTTCTTGCTTGCTTTCTTTACTTACTGCTTTCTTTCTTTCTTTCTTTCTTTCTTCAGCGCGTCTTTTCTTTCTTTCTTTCCTTATAGCTTTCTTTCTTCCTTTCTCTCTTGAATATTTTTTCGTGCTTGCCTTCCTTCCTTACTGCTTTCTTTCTTTCTTCACTGCGTCTTTTCTTTCTTTAATGTTATCTTTCTTTCTTTAATGCTTTCTTTCTTTCTTTAATGCTTTCTTTCTTTCTTTAATGCTTACTTCCTATCTCTCTTTAATGCTTATTTCGTGCTTTCTTTCTTTACTGATTTCTTTCTTTCTTTCTTTCTTTCTTTCTTTTCTTTCTTCCATTTCTTTCCTTTCTTTTTTTCTTTCTTTTCTTTTGCTTGCTTTCTTTCTCTCTTTAATGCTTATTTCGTTCTTTCTTTCTTTCTTTAATGATTATTTCTTTCTTTCTTTCTTTCTTTCTTTCTTTCTTCCATACGTCTTTTCTTTCTTTAATGCTTTCTTTCTTTCTTTACTACTTACTTCCTATCTCTCTTTAATGCTTATTTCGTGCTTTCTTTCTTTACTGATTTCTTTCTTTCTTTCTTTCTTTCTTTCTTTCTTTCTTCCATACGTCTTTTCTTTCTTTAATGCTTTCTTTCTTTCTTTACTGCTTACTTCCTATCTCTCTTTATTGCTTATTTCGTGCTTTCTTTCTTTACTGATTTCTTTCTTTCTTTCTTTCTTTCTTTTTCTTTCTTTTCTTTCTTTTCTTTTCTTTTAATTTCTTTCTTTCTTTTTTACTGCTTACTTCCTATCTCTCTTTAATGCTTATTTCTTTACTGATTTTCTTTTTCTTTACTGATTTCTTTCTTTCTTTCTTTCTTTCTTTCTTTCTTTCTTTCTTCCATACGTCTTTTCTTTCTTTAATGCTTTCTTTCTTTCTTTAATACTTACTTCCTATCTCTCGTTAATGCTTATTTCGTGCTTTCTTTCTTTCTTTCTTTCTTTCTTTCTTTCTTTCTTTCTTCCCTACGTCTTTTCTTTCTTTAATGCTTTCTTTATTTACTGCTTTCTTTCTTTCTTCTTCATTGCGTCTTTTCTTTAATGCTAGCTTTCTTTCTTTACTGTTATCTTTCTTTCTTTATAGCTTTCTTTCTTTCTTTACTTCTTCTTTCTTCCTTTCTCTCTTTAATGCTTTTTCTTGCTTTCTTTGTTTGTTTGTTTCTTTCTTTCTTTACCGTGTCTTTTCTTTCTTTAATGCTATCTTTCTTTCTTACTGCTTTCCCGCCAGTTTTTATCTCCATCATTCGTCTATCTTCACTTATCGCTTTCCATTCTCTGTTTTCTCTTATATAAATTAAACCATCATGGCCGCCATGCACAATGCAATAGTGTCGACTAGCAAAGGTGTGTGCACAATCCGTGCAATTTCATTGAAGTCAGCATGAAAAATTGCTTTTTCTATTGACAACATAACCAACATCCAAAAATGGGTCCATTTATTTCATTTTTTAAATTTTTCGATGGAAAAAATTATTTACCATGACCTTTGTTTTTTAGGCTTTCGTTTTTATTAAGTTTTTTACGACACTTACCCACTATTTTGTCACTCCTCTCCCTCTCTTACTCTCTATCTATTTCTCTTTCTCTATACCCCTCTCTCTCTCTCTCCCCAGCCAACATTATATTTCTTTTACTCTTTGCGTTGCAGTTTTCCCCTCTTTCCCAATTATATTTTATTTTTTCTCAAATCTTTTATTCCGTTCTCTCTCTCTCTCTCGCTCACTCTCTCACTCTTTCTTTTCTCCTTTTCACTCTCTTTTCTCTCTCTCTCTCTCTCTTTCCCCTTTTCTCGTCTTCTTTTCTCCCTCTCTCCTTTTCTCTCTCCTTCTTAAATTGTAATGTTCTTATTCCTTAATCTCTCCTATCTTCCACTACTTTTGTTATCACTTACTCTATCTCTCTCTCTAAATCTCTCTCACTCCCTCTCTCTCTCTCTAAATCTCTCTCTCACTCCCTCTCTCTCTCTCTAAATCTCTCTCTCACTCCCTCTCTCTCTCTCTAAATCTATCTCTCTCTCTCTCTGTTATTTTTCACTCTTTTTCTTCTCTCTTTTCTTCTCTTTTTTGCGTTTTCATTTTTGTTTCCTTCTCTTTCTCTCTGACTCAGATATGTTTCCTTTTTCATAAAACCAATTTCCCTTACTCCCCCTCTCGATCTTATCAGTCGCTTACTTTCTTCTTTTTTTTTTCTGTTATTCTGTTCCGCCTCCAGTGGGGTGCAATTGGCGTAATTAAATAAGAAATAAGAGAAGCGAGTTCGAATTTGTTTAAATCCACTAAGCAGACAACAGCCGTTTCTTTCTCTCGACATTTTTCGTAGTTTCTTATCTCTTGCTTTGTCTATTGATCTTTCTGGCTATTTCTCTCTAACTATCCAATCTCTCCGAAGTTAATATTCTTCTTTTCACTTTTCCCTCCATCATAACTCTATCTATTGTTCTCTTTACTTTTCTATTCTTTTTATCACTTTCGCTCGTTTCTTAATTTCAAACACCAACTCTCTCAATATATATATATATATATATATATATATATATATATATATATATATGTATGTATTTATAAATATAAAAGTGAACATTGACGTCAACACTTAGAGGTGACAGGCTGTTTCATGCTAGGCGCAATCATCAGGCCATGAGTGTTGAATGTTGTTTTTTTTTCTCGGCTATTTATATATACGTGTCAGTGGTGCATTGTGGGTAATCTATTTTGGCGGTTATTTTGCCGGAAGTGGTTTATATGTTTATTTATTTGGGTTAATTTATTTTGCTTGTTTTTATTTATTTTTATTTTTTATTTTTATTTTTTATTTTTATTTCTTATCTTATTTATTTATTTTTATTTTAAATGGTGTTTTTTTAACGTAGTAAAAGTTTGTTTATATCGCTTATTTAATAGTTTTATTTTGGTTTGGGAAGATAATTAAAGCTATTTATTTAATTTTGGGGTTGATTGCTGTAGATTATTCAAACGTATATACATACATACATATATATATATATATATATATATATATATATATATATATATATATATATATATATATATTTATATGTTGATTGCTTTAGTTTATTCTAATGTATAAACATATATATACATATATATACATATGTATATATATACTTATATAAATAAATATATATATTTATATATGTATACATATATATACATATTTTAAGACATTTTTTTATGTTTATACGTTCTTTTTATAGATACAAATATTCAAGTAAATGCTCTGTTTATAATAAACAGTATTAAACAACAGTTACCGGCCTAAATGTCCGTGAAATTTTCACAGTAAATATTGTTTAATACTGTTTATTATAAACAGAACATTTACTTGAATATTTGTATCTATAAAAGAACGTATAAACTTAAAAAATGTCTTAAAATAATTGTCGGACTTTGTCCATTTCATTATATGTGACGTCATATATACACACACACATATATATATATATATATATATATATATATATATATATATATATATATATATATATATATATATATATATATATATATATATATATATATATATATATATATATATATATATATATATATATATATATATATATATATATATATATATATATATATATATATATATATAGTATATAAAATATCTATGATTTAACCATTTAAGAGAAGACAATACTTACGAATAAAAATGACAATAGGAAAACTGGTAATTGCTGACGCGTTTCGTCCAATGTGGACTTTTTCGTATTTTGCTTTGATAAAGTCCACATTGGACGAAAGGCGTCAGCAATTACTAGTTTTCCTATTGTCATTTTTATTCATATATATATATATATACACACACACACACACATTGTTTGGTGATAAGACCGTGGATTTTTATTATTTTAGCTATTCGTAGAGAGAGGTTTATCTTTATATCTGACAAACTCATGGCCAGTCTAGATATAAAATTTTAACACTTTACACTAATTTTCCTGTTGAAAAATGCTTAAATGTCTTAAAAAGCATTTCAAAAAATCAAATATAAACCTTTATAGATCAACTATAAACGCCAATAAAAAGTCATTTTTTTTCTAAATATGTTTTTGGTATATAATCTATTCGAGTTCATTTAGATTCGTTTTCTTTTTTTATGTTTGCATCACATCTGTGAAGAATACTGAAGCCTTGTAAGAACCTGGAGTCAAATTTACTGATGATAACTTAGCGATTATATGACTTCCTAAACATTTTCGTCTCAATAAATTGTTTTCTCTTTTAATTAGGGTAGCGTTTTTGAAATCAAAATTGTGGTCAATCTCGTTACGGTGAGCAACTAATGCATTTAACGTATTGTTTTGTAAAAGATCCCTTTTGTGTTCATATAATATTTTATTTAAATTCATTGAGGTTTCTCCGATGTATTCCTTGTCGCAATTATTACAGTAATGGAGTAAATTCCCCTTCAAGTTTTAGTTTTATCATTTTTGTTTCGCATTGATTAGGTATTAGACATTGTTGTGACAAATTTTATGTTGAGTTTTGATAAAAATGTTTTCAATTGTATATATATATAAAAATTATATTTTTATCCCATACATATATACAGGCTGCTAGAATATCCTATGTCTACCAACAGGACTCTGCACCATATCACACAAGCAGAATACAATCATGGCTGACTGACAATTTCTGCGACCACATCACCCCACACATCTGGCCACCGAACCCCTAGTCTGCAACCCTCTTCATTATTTTGTGTGGGGCATAGTTGGGCAAGAGTGCGAAAAAGACATAGTGTCTTCTAGCAGTTACCCCCTTAGCCCAGGGCAGTACTACCTCCTCAAGACACTTGATGTAGGCCTCCATGTTGAGTCTGTGGCCCTGTGGGAAGATGAATGGAGGCATAACGTCGCCATCACTACTGATCACTACAAAGACCTTAGTAATCCCCATTATGCTCATCCAACTCTTTCTGAATCCTCTGCACTGTCCTCAAATTGACACCCAAACAGTCTGAAATGTTCGTATTGGGGCTTCTTGTACGGTTGCATGCCGTTTCCAAATTTCGGACAGAGAGAATTGTGTCATGGTGCTCTTTTTCTCACAGATAGTGCCCAACTGAACACAACTGAACTGTGCAGTCGACAAAATAAAATATAAAATGGTTCTAATATAATATATATATATATATATATATATATATATATATATATATATATATATATAATAAGCAAATATATGGATATAGATACGAATTATAAATTATAACATTATTATTTGTCATGTTGTATTGATAATGTTATAATTTATGAATATGTCCTGAAGATGGTTTATTAGACCGAAACGTCCGACGTTGACATATTAACATTAAAACAGTATAAATTGTATATAAGGATTTTTGTTTGTTTTTTCCGTATATTTTTTTATATTCATATATATATATATATATATATATATATATATATATATATACAGAGAGAGAGAGAGAGAGAGAGACCGAAAGGAGTAATGTAAGACATGTTTCTTTAAGTTAAAGGGTTTTGAAGACAGTAGACTGAAGCACCGTGATCAGCTTCGTCAAACTCTGAAGCAGAGACGCCATCAGAATCCTGCTTTATCAAACTTCATCTGTTAGTGTGGCTTTGCCGTCCGCAACAAGGCTGGGCTAGTATCACACTTAAGAACGATCAAATGAAATATGTCTTTCCCTTACCTGATTTTCTCTACAATAGCTCTTGCTAGCATGCATAAAACAAAAGGCACCATCCAATGCTGACCCTCATTTATCGTTCGTGATGGGAGAGTTCACCATATATACACATACAAACACAATAACTACCTATACACAATCAAGTAAATATAACATACGTTGCCTGATATATATATATATATATATATATATATATATATATATATATATATATATATATATATA